AGGTTGCTACAAGCCCCTGTGTCCAACCTGGTCTTCTATGCTGCCAGGGGTGGGGCAGCCACAACTTCTCTAGGCAACCTGTGCTAGCACCTCAGCACCCTCACAGGTTGCCTCAGAGCTCATCTCAGTCTCCCCCCTCGCAAGTTAAAGCCAGTTCCCCTTGTCCTGTCCCTACAGGCCCATGTCCAGTGTCCCTCTCCAGGTTTCTTGTAGCCCCTTTAGGCACTGGAGCTGCTCTAAGGTCTCCCTTAAGGAGCCTTCTCTTCTCCAGGGTGAACAAGCTCAATTCTCACCACTGCCCTTAGCAGATGCCCTTGCTGTTGGCTTTCTCGGGAGCATCTTGGTCTCTTCAGCTGCAGGGTCCCTCACCAGCTATGTGGTAACCAGAGCTGAGACACAGAAATGCTCTGACTTCTGGATTTACCTGGAGACAGGCAAGTCCCCACAAGAGCTCACCATGGCTGGTGGGACATCTCAGTTTGCTGGTATGTTCACGTCCCTCCCTGCTGCTTTCCCTGGGCTTGTCATGCCTGGTTCTTCCCTGCTGTTCCTGCCTCATAATTAAGCTGGTGACTGCCGTTGCCAAAATCCCCATGTAAGTCCCACAGTGGCACCCTGCAGCTAGAGGATGAGAGCTTGTTCTTTCTGTTGCAGAAGATCTGCCTAATCCAGAAGACAGAGGGAGCACGGCACCCCCAGTGAGGAGGAACAAGTATGGGGACATTGTGGAGTAGCCGGTAGAGCCCAGAGCACCGTGCCTGTGTCCTGCTTCAGCCCTTCTTGCCCTCCCTGCGGGCTGTGCCTATGCTGCCTCCGAGACTGGTGGGTCTGCGGCACTGCCCCGCACCTCAGATGGGTTGATCCTGCAGTGAGAGTGTGGTGGAAGCACCACAGGCATTGCTGCCTCCGATGTGGCCTCTGAACATCACATGTGCGGGGTGCAATTAAAGTCGAGAGCTGAAAGCGCTTGTTGTGGGCGGAGGCTGACGGTGGAACGGGAAGAGCTGGGGTGCAATCCCTGAGCCTCGCCACGAGGGGGAGTACCTGTGCTGGGGAGATAAGGGGCCTGGGGAGGAAACTGGGTTTGAGGGCTCAGAACATCATTTGAACTGGAATCCCATTTGTTCTGTGCAGAGAGATGGGGAACAGCCAGCAGAACAGCTAAAAGCAAAGTGGCTGCAGGGAACGGGTGTGCTGAGCCAAGCATGGTGTAGCGGGAGCAGGGAAGGGTGTTGGTGGAGCAAGCTGTGGAGCAACTGCAGCTCTCTTGAAGCTGCTCCTCTCCCGGGGTGTGTGGAGGGACACAGGGGGCTGGAGAATCACTCCAGATGGGGTTGACAAGTCCGGACTGGCCCTGTGCTAGCAGCTGGATGCCTGGTGGCTCTGAGCTGCCAGCAACTGCATGAACAGATTGTCAATGCTGTGGGCTGCTCTCCTGCTCTGCCTGGGTACCAGAACCTGTCCCTGGCAGCAGAGGTTCCCTACATATTCTCCTTGTGTAGAGTGAGCACAGCAGTGAGTGCACAAGACAGACAGCTTGAGTTCTGCCTGCTCATGTCTTTGGTCCTCCTAGGCTGATTGAAACTCTTCTGCCTCCTCTTGGTCCCAAGTCTGGAGTGAGGTTTCAAGCCCACCTCAGTCTGTCTTCAGGCTGGTAAAGCATATGAAGCCATGGTGGTGTCTCAGCGCTGGGCAGGCTGCAAAGGAATGAGACCTTCAGGCAGAGCCTGACTTGTGGCTGCGTCCGTGTAGGCCACATAAGTGGCTCTACCCCTGTAGGACAGCCAGGCTTGACCAGCTTGTTGCTGATCATGAGCCATAGAGCCATAGGAGTGGTTACAAAGATTTATTTCTGATTATAAAAAAACCCCAAACAAACAAACCCAAACCTGCCTGTTTGCATGCCCCTGTTCTTGCTCAATTGGAAATGAAGGTGTGTCCTCACAGCTGCCTGGGGAGGGGTGATGCAGGGATCAAGTCCGAAAGCAGAGCAAAGCTCCGTTCCGACAGTGAGCCCATTACCTCTGTGCTGGTGTGGCCATAACCAGGAAGCCACGGGGCCTTTTTGTGCCATTGCCTGGGGATAGAGGAGGCTTTGACTATGGCCAGAGGTAAATCTGAGTTAGGAAACACAGGAATGGGGAAGGCACCATGAAGTTGCTGAAGTGGGACCTGAGAAGCTGCTTGCTTCCGATGTCTGGTTGTTTTTAAGCAGCTATCCAAAGGCCCTGTGCTGAGACCAGTGAAAGTCTAGGCCAAGATTTGGCCCTCAGGAAGGTCAGTGGGATTTGTGCATTGGCCAGAAAGACAGCATGGGATCTGGGTGGTGCCCAGAGCTCCCAGGAGGCAGGGCTGGTGCTCCAGGGACAGGCTAGAGAGGTCAGCTGTGAGGACTAGTGTAAGTAATGTTCCCCATCCACCCCATGCACATGAGAATAAATCCTACTCCTGTCTTGATTTGCTGACCCAGTGCAGCCCAGGTCTGATGGCAGAAAGATGCCCCAGGTTCAAACGTCCAGATTCCAAGCCTGCTCTGGAGTCCATCCCTTAGTAGCACTGGGAAGCCCTTAAGCCATTGTTCTGCGAGGCCAGCAATCCTTTTCTGTCCCTCCCTTTCTGCAGCTTGAAAGCAAGGGGAGAGCAGGAAGGGGCAGATTTCCATCTGGGACAGGCAGCATCAGGCATGGGAGGAGGAGATCTCTGAGCACTTGCTGCATCCCAAGTGTTCAGGACATGGAGACTCCAGCAGGAAGGATGGTGCTGGGTCCTGTAGACAAGGTGCACCCTGACCCAACCATTATATTGTGCCAGACTTGCTGCGCCGGAGCAGGCAAACAGCAGTCACCAGAGATGTCAGGGTGGTGATCACAAAGAGCAGGATGAGGATGACCCAGTAATTATACAGCATGCTTTTGTGGGAAGAGGGCTTCTCTGCTGGGATCATATTGGTGAGGTTCAGCATGTAGCCCAGGGCCCAGCCGATGGAGGTATCTCCTGCCTGTGAAAAGAGCATGGCGTGGTCACCACCCTGCTTAACCTATCTGCACAAACCTTAAGACACCTTCCAGGGACCACCTCAGTGTCAGCCCAGTGGAGAAAATGGGTGTGGGGGAGTTAAGCACCCTGAGCTTTTGCTTGCCCGTGGGTCCAGCCAGCCCAAGGATGAAGCAATGACCATCTTGTGCTGAGCTGGGCTCATCCAGTGGGAGCAGGATCTTGTCTGCTCAGGCCAGTCCTGATCTCGCTGCCCATCCTGTGGCTCAGGCAGGTGAGGGCATTTGTCAGAGGTGGGAATCTGCCCTGAGATGACTTGCTGGCAAGCCTGAGCGAAGTTGTTTGCGGTGGCTTTTGTCTTGAGGACCTAGGAGGGACTGGAGGACCTCACTCCACACCAACTCAGCTCATTTTTTTTCACCTCCCAAAAGATCCACCCAGACCTGGAGAGTCCCATCCTCCCCTGCCCTCCAAGATCTTCCCTCACGCTGCTTAACTCTTTCTTGCTGTGGGACACTCTCCTGCAGAACTTTTTGGCCTGACTCCAAACAGATACCATGGGATGGGGATGTGCTCTGGCATTACCCACCTTCTTCTGGAAGGTGATGTTGGGGAAGGAATGGTTGTTGAAGTTGTAGCCTTTGGTGGTGAGCAAATAAACAAACATGGTGACGGCGCAGTAATCTGGTAGCCTCTTCTCCAGCTTGGGGGCTTTCTGGAGCAGCTGGATGGGATTCATGGAGGGAGAAAGTAAAAGGGTCAAGCCAGAAGGGTTCAGGCTTTGTTTCTGTGGCCTGAAGTTCTGGGTGGTTCCACCTGTCTGGCCAAGGCACTGCATATACCCACCTGAGGCACTCCGGGTCTTATTCCCCCTATTCCATGGGTGCCAGGACACCCAGCTCCCTCCGAGGGCTGCTCTTGGATCCCAGGTGATGACCGACATGAAGCAGCCCTCTCCAACCCACCATGCCAAGCAAGCCCACCTCGCTCCAGTTGGTGGCACAGATCGTCTCAGCAGCATCCTTCAGGTCACTGGGCAAGCGCACAGGTCTCCCCATCACTGCCTGGATGAAGTCCACCGTGTAGAAGAAGGCAGAGAAGGCCTGATGGAGGAAAGGAGGCAACTGTGGGACAGGCTGGGAGCAAATCTTGCCGCCAACAGCCATTCCAACTGGTGTGGTAGGCACCAGGGACTGATCTTGCAGAGCTGGGGGCCTGGCTTTGCTGCTGCATGATGCTGAGAGGGTGGGGAGACCTGGGCCGCCATCCCATTCCATGCCAGGACTTACGATGAAGTTTCCTGAAACTTCTGGCTGGAAAATGCCATCAAAGGAGCAGTGGGAGAAGGAGCAGGAGGTGAAGTTGAAGAGCTTGTTGACGTGCATAGCACAGAGGCTCCCATTCCCAGTGCCGACCACAGTGACGGTGGTGTCAAGGGCAAGGTTTGGCATCTCCTTCTCTGTGCAGGGGCTGTTGTAGACACTGCTCAGTGATAGGGTCTTGCGGTAGCCCATGGGCCAGCAGGGATGTGAGACAATGGCTTGGTATCTCTCAGCCTGCAGGAGAAGCAACATGAGACGTGAGATGTGCTGTAGCCCTGGCAGCCCCAGCACTGCTGCCTTCAATCCCTGCTGGGAGATGCAGAGGGGACCAGGCAGCAGGACACAGAACTGGCAGTTGCCACAAGCATCTCAAGATGACTTGGGACATCTTGGCTCTGGCCGAGGGGTGCAACATCTTATGGAGAAGGTGGGAGGAAGCCTTGGGACCATGGGAGAGGATTGTGGGCAAAAACCTAGAGCTGAGTGGGAAGGAGGTGCAGCCGGCCCTGTGGTGCTGTCCTAGACCCAAGGCTGCAGGCACCCCTGTATAAACACTAGGGTGAGGGGGCAATGTGGATGACCTCATTGAGCACATGCTGGTACCTGCAGGAGCTTTGAGAGCAGCCTTTTGAGGACCTGGTCCCTTCCGTAACAGAGGAAGCTGTGGGTGTACACTTTGTACGTCTGGCCGTACAGTTTCAGCATCACCTCGTTTCTGGGGTCTTCGATGGTGTCCCTAGTTTCAAAGGTGATCTGTGTGGAAGCACCCCCGAAGTCCATTGCCCCCAGGGTCTTCTTCTGGGGCTGGATCCATTCCCCAAGCCATCCACGCTGAGCAAGAAAGACAAGATGTGATGAACTACAGGACAGCCCAGCCAGTGCAGCCACCCCCACTGCCATGATCCCCTGCCCACCTTGATGAAGTTCTCCAGGAGGTAGTTTGCGGTGACCCAACCAAAGACCCCTTCCTCTTCCCCCGACAGGATCTTCGAGCCCCGGAAATCAAAGGGGTACGACTTCAGTGTGGCCGCCACGGGCTGGGTGCTGCAAGCACAGCCCCCACTGCCCACGGAGCCCTCAGGTCCCAGCCTCCCCATGGCACCAGGGCAGGAGGGCGGTAGGTCCTCACCCAGGTACCCATAGGGATGTCTCCAAAAGCCCCAGCTAATTCCCCCTGTATCTGCTGGAGGAGGCAGGGGCATGGATGGGGTGTGCTCCCTCCTTCTGAGCTAGATCCTGTGGTTGGGCAAGGGGGGCACAACTCCCTCCTCTCTGTGTTTTTTTGGGGGTAATTATTCTCAGTGCATCCCATCAGGCTGCAGAGGGTGCAGGAGGCCTTCTTTCCCAGCTAGCTGCAAAGACTGGATGGGTTATCACAGCGCTGGTCCCACTACAGCCCCTTTTCAGTCAAGGATGTGCTTGCCAAGCTCTGCAGAGCATCTCCTGCTCTGAGAGGCAGGAGCACCTCTGTGAGGGACACACAGCCGGGCACCTGGGAGGGTGAGGAGCTTTGCCTAGCAAAGGGGTCCCCTCAAAGCTGTTCTTCACCATCTCCACCCCTGCCATGGTTGAGAAGGTGCAGGGTGTCATTGCAGAGCCCCTGGGCAGCGTTTAAGGCTGGTGTGCACAGAGCACTCACTGAAGCAGGCGCATGCCAGCCGTGGCACCCAGGTAGAGCGGGGTTCCCACGTGCTTCTCCTTGGGCACGTCTCTCAGAGCCTGGTTCAGGCAGTGCACCAAGCTTGTCCCAGCAGCCGGAGGGTTGGAGCTGTAGCTGGAGATGCCAGGACCTGTGGAGAAGAAACAGCATTGCTCCCTGCAGGGGGTGGGAAGATGCTCTGTGGGCAGCTTTGCCCCTCCCAGGCTTGGAGGCCCTCCCAGGCACCAGCCTGCTCCAGAGGCAGGTGCTGCAGGTTTCTGTGGGTATGGAGCCATACAGAGTCCAGACACATCTCCCTGCCCATGCTGCATCCCCCTGGCAGACTGCCTGGGAAAGGTTGCTTAAATGGAGAGTGGAAAACCATCCCTCACTCCTCACTGAGCTAGGCAGGGAGCTGAAATGCTTCCTGCCAGTTTAGTGTATGCCAGGAAAAGATAAACCACAGGCATGCACTGCTGCATGCCCTGGGGGAGATGGGGGAGGTTTGGGGAACAGAGCTGGACTCCTATGACACCGCCCTGTGCTGGTGGATGCACTGGTGGTGGTAGAGGCAGCTGGGCACGGCAGAGCAGTGACACCATCGTGGGGCCCTGCCTGCAGGCGATGGGACAGATCCCGCCACCAGCCACTGGCCCTGGGGACCAGGACAGCCCTTACCCTCCACGTCACACATGCTGTGCTCACTGACCACCCCGGTGTCATTCTCCTTGTCTGCAGGCCACTTGTAGACGAACATGGCCGTGTGGGAGGATCCAGCGTCCAGCACGATGCCGTACTGCAGGGGGGAGGTAGTGGGTCAGGCCTAGAGGCAGGATCTCCTCAGTGCTCCAGACCATCCCAAGGGAAGGCACCAGGGCTCAATGACCCACCACGGCACCTTCAGGAGCATTGTCTGGCAGAGGCGAGCACTGCTCAACCCAGAGCAGGCATGGCCTTGCCCTCACCGGGCATGGGCCCTGCCAGGATGGGGCCAGAACAGGCGCTCTCCCCAGCCAGGGACACTGGACATTCCAGGATGCTGCTTGGCACAGCACCGGGACTTTGACATTTGGGGCTTGGGGACCCCCTTGCCTTCTTGAGCATCTGCTGCCTG